CTACCCGCCTGTTCAGCTAATACTTCTTGTACCTTGCCTACAGTAAGAGTCTCTTCTGTCCGTACGTATCGCCGCTTGCGGCTTTTACGCTTGTTTGATTCGTCTAGAGCCTCTTGAAGGGTGGTTATTTTCTCTGTTAAAAGTACCATCTTATGTGCTATCTGCTAAGCCCCCTTACTTAACTGCGCGATCTGCTTAGTAAGTGAATTAGCAGAAGACCCACGGCGCTTTCTCACGCTCTGTCGAATAAGACTAGTTTAAGCCTCGACTTCGCGCGCGTTACGTGGTGTCTGCGCCTCCCAGGCGGCTACCCGTTGCGGTGATTGATGTGGTGTCTGCACCACTACATCAAGCTTTAATAGCACAGCCTGTGGGTCGTGTGGGACTAAACTAGCGCCTCTAAAGCTAGCTTGGATATTCTCCTTCGTAATAGACTGCTCAAAAGCAGCCTTAAAGGCTAGCAGGAAGGTCTCCTTACTGATATAGCTGGTGCGGTTGCGTGCCAAGCCTGAAACAGCGTCGCCATACTTGCGCTTTAATAGCGAGAAGCAGGCGACGTTAAGGGGCTGCAATAGGTGAGACGAGTGTGGAGGCATGCAGAGAAGAATAATATTCTTCTCCTTGCAAAGATCTTGAAAATTGATGGAGCAGTGGCTCTTATGGCCGTTAATAATAAGCAGTCGATACCCACCCACAGTAGGGCTCTTTGTATGGGTATTAAAGTGCTCTAACTAGGCAAGACTAAGCTAATTATTCGTCTAGCTATTGGGACTGACCTTAAGAACCTAGTTAGCAGGCAAATTCTTAAACTAGACGTTGATAAGCACCTTGCCCGCAAAGACAACGAATAGTGGTATCTGGCGACCTAACGCGCCCACGCCTTAGATCACAGTAACCCACTTACGGTTACCTAGCTGGATCCGCTTCTTTTTGCCATATCCCTCTAAGCCTGTGATAACTAACTATAATAAAATCTTGCCTATTATAAAGCTAGTTTTGTTAAAGTTGTAGATATCGTTGTCTATAATACCCCACTTCTGCTTTGTCGCCTAAACTAAGTTAAACTAGCGCTAGATAGCCGCTGGGTCCTCGTAGGTAGCTCGCTGGTGATTGTAGGGACGGCTCTAGCGCGTGCGGAGCTTAGGAGTCCTCTTAACAAAGTTATTAATCTAGTTCTTGCTAACAGGGTTGCTCCCACGCTCATGCAGTAGTTTATTAGCTATTGCTTGAACGTTAGGCTTTGTAGGCGCAAATCCTCGCGCAGACTCCTCAAGAATACGCTTAACTATAGCCTCCTCTTCTAGCTTATTTAGGCGCTTCGAATTCGCTTCGCAGTCGCGTTAAGAGCGCTTTCTAGCGCGTTAGTTAGATAGGGTTCTTTAAGGCACGTTATAGATAGAGGCAGCACGTCTTTAGCTTTAAACACGTTGCGATTGGATATTAAAAAGAGCAAGCTAAAGATCTAATTTAGGATAGGCTAATAAATGTTAACGTTGTTGAGACATGACGTGTTGCAGTCTCGACGTCGACGCGCTGGTGGGGCGTGAGCGACTCGCTTGGGTGAGCGACTCGCTTGTGAACCACGTTATGTCTAAGGTTGTTCTTAATTACTAGCTACTACTATTGCGTAGGAGCTAGGGGGCTAAGCTTAAGGTTGGGTGGGCGGGGTATTTGGTTTTTTAAGGCGTCTAACTTTCTCTTTTAGTTCTTTAGAGACGTTAGATAGAGAGGAGATTTAGTCTCCTAGAATTGTAGAGTTTTTCTTGTTTACTCTGCTATTCTCTGTAAAGTCTCTAAAGACTTCTACAAGGTCTAGTAAACTAGTTTGCCTAGTAGGGTTGTTTTTAGCTAGGTTAGCTGCTTGGATTACTAGGTTTCTAGCAATCTCTAAGGCCTCCTTAATAGAGGTTGCCTTTGGTGTTTTCCCTACTGTAGGGTATCTTGGCACTGCTCCAATAAATGGAGAAAAATTACTC